GGCACACCTCTGGGCATGTATGTGAGAGTGTTTCCAGAGAGACTGAAATGAGGAGGAGACTCACCCTGGATATGGGTGGCACTACCCAACAGGCTGAGGTCTCCTTCAAGAGGAAAAGGGAAAATGAGAAAGAAAACTGACTACCACCACTCATCTCTCTGTTTTCTGGCTCCGGGCACACATAACCAGCTGTTTCTGCTCCTGATGCCTAGGTCTTCTCTACCAATGGGGCTATGCCTTCAAACTATGGTTAGAAAGAAATCCTTTCTTCCTTAAGCTGCTTGTTGTCAGGTACTTGTTCACAGCAAGGAGGAAAGTAAGTAAGACAGTGAATATTTACTGACTACCCACCACAGTTCACACACTGTGCTCAATCCCGGGAACAAACCAGAAGAAGAGAGAAAAAGACCTTTGCCCTCCTGAAAGCTCATTCTAATGGGGGAGAGAGCCAAGGAAAACTTTATATCCTCAAGTGTACTAAAGTGGCACAAGCTATCATGTTTGTTTGAAATTACTAAGGCCTATAAGTTAGGATTAGACATGTGCATGGTATCTTTGTTATGTTGGGGTTTTCTATTTCTCCAGTGAAAGACTTTATTTTATTTTTGTCTTGTTGAAGTCTACAGTACAATCTGTAGTTATAGCATAGGCCTACTTACTTTTTTTTAACTTCTTTTTTTTTTTTTGAGGGAGTGGGAGGCTGGGGGCATGCCACAAGGCACATGTGGAGGTCACAGAAGAGTTTGTAGGGATCAATTCTCTCCAGGTCAGGAGGCTTGGTAACAAATGCCCTCCCACCCCCAAGTGACATTTTTAAATAACATTTTCATGACTTCTTTATAACATAAACCCAGACCACTCACAGTGACACATGGGGGGTCGGAGAACCACAAAATTGAGGCCAGCTTCAGGTGATATTAGGGAACCTGTCTCAAAACAAAATGCCTGTTGCTGGAGCTGTGTTAGAGCTTGAGTCCAGCACATACAAGGCTGGAGGATACCCCAGGGAAGTGTTTTAGTGCAGTTTTGGGGTACTTATAGCAAAACTGAGATGGTAATATCCCATGTAACTCTTCCCCAATCCTTACAGTCTCTATTCTCCACAACCTCAACCAGTGTGAATCTGACGCATGGTGAAACCCCATGGTCACAAAAGCTTCTCACGAATGGGGCAGTAAGAGTTCATTTAAAGAACAAGCTAGTTCTGAACGCATCACTGAAAAGCTGCCTCATTATGTCTAGTTATAGATCCCAGCTTTAGAATGATAATTCAATTGCAGGGTTCCAGTTGAGATGCTACAAAGCTGGGACCCTGTAAAATAACCCAGCCTCCTGACATCTTCCTCTCCAAGGTATTTCCTTCCCACTAAACCAAGACTTCCAAGAATTATGAACAACAGATTGGTGAACTACATGTCACAACCAAATGTATTTACTCGCTAGGTAGCAGAATAATGTTTGCTAAGCTGTGTTAGATTAAGAAAAACTTGGAGACTCCATGGAGACTCCATGCAGTATGAGTTGGGCAGAGCAAACGTAAAATGTTCTGGGCTGCCAGGAAACACCTCACCTCCTCCTGGGAAAACAGAGCACCCTAATTAGAACAAAATTCAGAAGGACAGGAAATCATGGTCATATCTCAGATCTTTCTTTCATTAAACTGATCAATCACTGTTGATTATGTGAAACCCACAGATATGATTAAAATTTCCAATAAGTTGTCCTTAAAATAGGGAGATTAATGCAGGGTCATTATGAGGTAATAAGTATGAGGAGAACTCAGTTTATCACTGTCAGCTTTGAAGATGTAAGAAGTAGCTCCTGAGTTAAAGAATACTGTGTCCCCACAGGAGGGAACAGACAAGGAAAGTTACTCCCCTAAACATAAAGAATTGAAACTTTCAATATCTCCTTTTTTAGGATACTTAGACTCCTTAAGAACTCTTACTGTGCAAACTTGTATAGCCAATATGGAAATCAGTGTGGTGGTTTCTCAGGAAGATGGGAATTGATCTACCTCAAGATCCAGCTACACCATTCTTGGGCATATGCAAAAAGGATGCTTCATCCTACCACAGAGACTCTTGCTCAACCACATTCACTGCTACTCTATCCATAATAGCCAGAAATTGGAAACAACCTAGATGTTTCTCAACAGAAGAAAAGATAAGAAAATGTGGTACATTTGCATAATGGAGTACTACTCAGCTGTTTAAAAAAAGTGAAATCTGCAAGTAAATGGATGAAATAGAAAAATCATCCTGGATGAGTTATCCCAGACCCGGAAAGAGAAATGTGGTTATGTATTCTCTTATATGTGGCTATGAACTGTTAAGTCAATGATAACCAAGCTACAATCCATAGAACCATAAAAGTTAGGTAGAGAGTAAAGGACTTGAGGGAACAGATAGATCTCCCTAGGAAAAGGGAATAGAATAGTTATGGATGGATTGGGGGTGGGGCTGGATGGGAGGATTAAGTGGGGAGGGGAAGGAGAGAGGAGACCAAAGGAAGGAATCTGGGGAGAGACAGCTATGACTAAGGGCCATTTGAAAGCAGTATGCGAACCTAATACAGCAGAAGCTTCCTAAAATATAGACATATATGAAGGCGATCTAATTGGCATCATCAAATTATGGGGAGACAGAGCCCCAATCGGCCATCTCTTGTCACCAAATGAAGCTTCCAGTCCCAGGACTGAGTCACATCTAATTTGAGTTGTTGGCCAAATAAGTCCCATGGGAACCCCCAAACCACCTAGGCTGTTGACAACACTACAGGCTGCTCCCCACAAGCTGACAGCAGGGCCCCATTGCTGAAGACAACACCTAGACAACTTATTGAACGTGGAGAAGTTGAGCTGGTGCCTACATAGAGCCTTCCCCCTTACATTTTAGCATATTTGGTACAGGAAGGTACTCCGCATGGTACTAAAAGAAAAACATAAATACCCACCCAGTCATAAACTCTTGGATCTAAAATGATGTCCTGCCTACAAAATGTGCTAGTGCAATGGTGGCACAAAGCTCATGGGAGTAATTAACCAATATCTGATTTGACTTAAGGCTCACTCCATGAGATGCTTGGGTGACCAAGAAACTGACACTAGAGAACTCAGGGACCTAAGGTAAACACAACTGTATTTATAATTTATATATATATATATATGTGTGTGTGTGTGTGTATGTATATGTATATGTATATATATATATATATATATATATATATATTAGCAGTAACACTCTACTATACTCATAGATCAGTGCCTTGCTCCCTCCTGCAGCAGATGGGAACAAAAACAGAGACCACAGCCAGACCTTATGCAGAGAGTGAGAGATTTTGGAACACTCTGCTCTTAAACAGGATGGCTCTATCCCTCCCCTCAGGGTGAACCCCAGGAAAGAAGAGGTAGAAACAGTGTAAGACCCAGAGGGGGTGGAGGACACCAGGAGAACAAGGCCCTCTAAATCAACATGAGCAAAGCTCATATGAACTCAGAGACTGAAGTAGCATGGACAGGCCCTAGGTCTGCACCAGGTCCTCTACATACATATTATGGCTTCCAGTTTACTGTTTTTTATGGGACTCCTGAGTGTTGGAACAAGCGCCTTCTCTTGGACTCTTTTCCTTCTGTTTGCTTTAACCAATTCCAATGTTTTAGTTTTCATCTTTTTATGTTTTATCTTATTATAAAAAAGAACTTCTACTGTCCTACTGCTGTGGGATGTCTTTCTGTATGCTGTGAATACGTGTGGCTCCCATTGGATAATAAATAAAGCTGTTTTGGCCTATAGCAAGAAAGCTTACAGCCAAGCGGGAAATTCAAGCAGAGATACAGAGGGAAGAAGGACGGAGTCGAGAGAAATGCCAGCAGCTGCCGAAGGAGGATAAGATGTCAGGAGAATGCTAACGCCAGGGCCATGTGGTAACATAGATTAATAGAAAGAGCTGGCTAGCAAGAAGCTTGAGCCATAGGCTATACAGTCTGTAATTAATATAAACCTCTTGATTATTTATTTTATAAATGGCTGCGGGACCGTGGGGCCAGGCAAGACCGAGAAACTTCCAGCTACAATCCTACAAGTAAAAATTTGTGTTTTAGCCACTACATGTGACAAAAATCACAAAATTGTGTTGTAGGGTCCTTCCCATCATGCGATAAAAGAAAAGTTTTGACACTAAAATGACCCCTTGATCCAGAGAAATGTCTACATGTGTACTGTTCCATACTACTCCCTAGAGAGTGAAAACAGGAATTCAGTCTTTTCTTATGTAACCCAATTTAACGTATAACCAAATCTAATAATTAAAAAAATCCCAGCCTTGTCCTTATGTCTATGTCCACTATCTCATGTATCTAAACGTTTTATCCTATTTTTTTTTTACAAGCGTTTACATTTTCATTCTACACTTCCATTTTACATAAATGGAAAAAAATTTTAAGGTCATTTTCAGAAAATGAAAGTGAAACACTGACAGATCAAATCATGCGCCCAGCTCACAGAAGCTGTAACTGTCATTCGCCTGTCAATCCCCGATGGACTCAGTTTAGATGTTCATGCCAGGCCAGAAGCCTCCAGCTCCTTGAGGCAGAGCTAAGGCCTGGAGCCCTTTTCCTGCCAGTTCCAGGGGCCGCCCCGCAGAACCCGCCGGCTAGCCGGCCCAGAATGACGCGCAAGGGGACGCGGAGAGAGCCCACCCTGCCGTAAATGCGGCGGCCAAGTGTTCGGAAGAGAAAGAAAACCTAAGCCCCACGCTCCGCTGCAGGAGGTCAAGGGGAGGACGCGACACCCGCCGTCCCGTCCCTCCCCGCCACTAAGTCACCGGCGTAGCCTCCCAGGGACAGAACCCCGCCCCGCCCCGCCCCCATGCTAGCCCCGCCCCAGCGTCGCACGCTAGCCCCGCCCCAGCGTCGCACGCTAGCCCCGCCCCAGCGTCGCACGCTAGCCCCGCCCCACGCTGGCCCCGCGTCGGGACGTGGGGCCGCGAGGCCCACTCACCAGCCCGAGCTCCGCCTTCCGCTGCAGCTCCGAGATTCGCTCCAGAGCGCTCGCGAAGCCGCCTGAGCGCGCCCGAGGAGCGGAGGAGTCGCGGGCCGCGCTCTCGGAGCCACTCTCCGTGCTGGCCTTTCGAAAGGGCTTGGAGAAGAGAAGCGCTCTTAGGAATCGGCTCCCTGCAGCCCCGGCATGGGAGCCTCCCAGCGCCGCCATGACGCCTGCGCGACCTCTCACCTCTGGCCCTTTGCGCACGCTCGCGGGTCAGGGGGCGGGTCGAGGATAGCCCCGCCCACCACCTTGGCGCCGGGCATGCCCGCGGCGTAGGAGGACTTAGGGCAGGTGCCTGACCACCAGCGGACCGCTGAGGGCGTGGAGAAGGTGTGTGCCTCAGAGGGGACGCCACAGCTGGCCACAGCTGCTCTACCTCACCGTCTCCAGCGGTCCCCTTAGCCTGTGGGAGTTGGGAGCCCCAAGCCCGCCAGCGCCTCCCGCCCCTTGATATTCACCACTTCTGAATGCTTCATACTTGACACTTGAAAACAGCTTTTAGTATCCGCACTCCAATTTTGTAATCTCTAGGAAGGAAGGCGATTGATTGCCTTTGCAAATGGACATAAAGTTGTTTGTGACACTGGTGGCAGGTCTGTCCTTGGCTACTTCTGTCGTCAGTCACCCGCCTTACAAAAACAATCTGAGAAGTTTTATCCGGGATACCTACCATCCCTTCTCGTGGTTGCAGAGTGTGCCTGGGCATAGCACTTAACCCCACACAAATACTTGGGGTTTTTTGTTTGTTTGTTTGTTTTGTCTTCAGCGAAAATCCCCAGAATTTGTCCACCCACTTCAGAATCAAACTTAACACCACCTAACACGAAGTGTTCGGCAATTAAGTGGGTCCACTCATCTAATAATCAGTTCGAGGCTAGCCTACACATTACTAAAACCGGGGCAGGTGCCACAGTTTTCTCTGTTGTTTGCTAACAGAAACTTTCTGTTGGAATCGGGGTCTTATGGAGCCCAGGCCAGTCTTGAGCTCACCATGTAGAACAAGCTGACCTCAAACACCTGAACCTCTGCTTCTCCCTGAATGGTGAGGTTTTTGCAAGCACCGTCGCCACCAGGACTGACCCTCTTTTATGTCGTTTGACTGTTAATTTAAATCTTCCTCAATGTCATAGGTGGTGCACCTTGGAGTCACTTAAAACTCAACCTTACTAGCCACTGTAGGGAGAATCCTAAAAATTCAGTAGGTGCCTCAAAGGCAATCTAATCCAGGTGAGGTCTTACTCTACACACTGAAACTCAATTCTGCTGACAGTTCAGGGGATTCTTGTCTGAAATGCCATTCTCTACGGCTATTGCTACTTTCAGTTCCTTTCAAAAACAATGTAGCAAATTGTAGAGCACGGCCAGCGACCTTTAAGAACCCTCAGGAGTCCTGAGTAACCTTTATCTTGGGCAATCCAGTATCACGTTGCTGATGTGGTTTCCCACTTGCGAAAGCAAACTGCTAACCAATGCCAAGTTTAAGGAACTGCTTTGCAAACTTAAATCATACCATTTTATAAACGTAAATCATAACAGTGCTTGCCTAGCATGCCAAGGCTGCAGGTTCACTCTTCAGTATAAAACCTGCATCTGGATGAACAGAACAAATGAGGCTACTGAGGTCCCATCTTCAACCAACAGACTTGTCATATTCATGTCCTGCCTCACCTAGAGGAGAAACCTGAAAGACAGACGGAGCTATTGGGGAGACAATTGCTGGAGCTTCTTATTCTTCCTGTTGGGGGGCTATAGGCACTCTCAGTACAAGTAGAATATGCCTTGAAGTTTTTTACTTGAAAATAGAGAGTAGAAAAGTGAGGGTTCATATTCAAGTTTTAATTGGAATTTCTCTATAGAGTGGATTGTGCTCATCTGATAAGCCATGGGTTGTGGAGAAAATGCCCAATGCCGGGTGTGGGACACCTTCCCTCAAGTTGTCGGTCAGAGGTGACCTGGAGACCCCTGGCACAATACAGACTATTGTCCTTATTCTTGTTTGCCCATCGGAACTTGACGGTAAAGCTGTTGCTGAAGACACTGCACGTCTTCATCCCAGAACAGGGAGAAATCAAGTTGGAGCTGGCCAGGCTAGCTCCCCATGTACTACTAGAAGGTGCTATGCAGACTGCTGAAGGGCAGCGTCGTCAGCAGTTTTACCCAGCTCTGAACCCTGTGAACTCCAATAATTACCAGCATGGCAGACTATGCCCGTGGGTGCTATGGTAGCATGAACGTGAGAAGGTGATCAAACTCTTCCTGGTTGGTTTTTAAGGTTTGCTCCACAGGCGGTGGAACCCACCTGGTTGCTACAAATCCGGCCAAAAACAACTAAACAATTACTACTTTTGCTAAGTGGACGTAGCATCCAACTGCTCTCTAAATTTCTCTCTCTCTACTCACAGATTCATGCCGTTCACAGAGCTCATCATTAGTTTCTTTGCCCAGTAGATGGTGGTTAACAAGGAACGGCTGTCACAGTGTCTGAAACCTGTGCCTGGGGCGTGCTCAGCCACAAAGGGGACATCTGCATCACCATTACCACCCCAAGGCTCAGGGACTGGAAAACCTGGAAAAAAGATGAAGACCCAAGGGTCTGGGAGCATCAAAGCTCAAGTGCTTTCTTGACGTGACAGGATCCCTGAACTCAGACTCCCAGCAGCCGGGTTGTCCAAGAGGGGCCTGCACATTGTGATCCTAACTTCTAAAATAGACTGGGATGTGGTCCTTGAGCCCCACCCCTAACTCAGGAGCTATGGACAGTCGATAGCTTCGGGGGAGGGAGAATCAAGTTGTTGTTGTTTTTAAGGTTGTGGCTCCACCTTTTTAAAGAGTTGACTACACTCCAGCGGATGGCCCAACACCCAGAACTGTGACAGCACAATTTGGAATCAATGGGTATTAAAAGTGAAAAAAGAAAGACGGGAAGTTGGGAGTAGGGAGGTAGAAACAGATAAGGGAGGAGTTGAGAGGAAGACTTGGGAGTAGATGTGATTAAAATATATGCAATCCTCCAAAATTTATTTTTAAAACTGAAGTAGTGAGGAGATGGGAATTTTGAGCTGGGGGCCAACCTGAGCTAAGTAGTGACAGCCTATCTTAAAAACAAAGTGTGGTGGGGCATGTATGTGATCCCTGTACCTGGTAGACAACCAGGATAATCAAGACTTCAAGGTAGTCCGTGGCAACATAGCAAGATTGAAGTCAGCTTCAGCGGTATGAGACCCTGCCTCAAAAGACAAAGCCAAGTGAGGCAACAGAGGGGCGTGTCTGAAGGACTTCTGCCTCCACAGGCACCAACGGGAGCATCCACTGGTGGCAGCAGTGCCCGCCTCTTCTGACTGGCTTTATTAGAACACAGGTTCTTCACAGTTCCAGCTTTATTCGTACACATTGAAGAAATGTGCATAGCAGATAGCCAGGAAAGAGAATAAACACACTTAACGCCCTGATCACATCTCCTGGCTATGGGCTCATCTACCACGACATACAACCCACCTCACCCTCAAGAACACCAGTGTAAAGAAAGGCACTTACTAAAAATCTCCATAAGTAAGTAAGTATTAAGCTGGGCAGTGGTGGTGCATGCCTAAATCCCAGCCCTGGGGAGGCAGAGCCAGGCAGATCTCTGAGTTCGAAGCCAGCCTGGTCTACAGAGCGAGATCCAGGACAGGCACCAAAATTACACAGAGAAACCCTGTGGGGGGCGGGGGGGGGGGGGGGAGCTATTTGTGGCTTGATGGACGTGACTTAGAGGTGATTAGAAATTTATGCCTCTTGGGTTGGGGTGTGGCTCAATAATATAGCACTTGCTCAGCATGTCTAAGGCAAGCCCTGTGTTCAACCCCCAGTACCACATAAAAATAAAGGGGAAAAATATGCTTAACTGATCAGAAAAGTCTGGAAGAAAGGTCCCAAGTCATGGGTAAGATACACTGTGACACTAAAGACATTCATTTCAGCCACATTAGAGGACAAAGAGGTCACTGAGGATACCATTTTGGGAGTTGGGATAATACTAAAAACTAGTCATATTGAAGAAAAACAAAATCCTAGAAATGAAATGAAAAATAAAGCATGTGGAAGTGAAGGGGTTTTAATATATGCGTTCATATGTGTGAGGTGCACATGTCGGCATGCATGTGGAAGCTAGAAGTTGATGTTGGGTGCCATCTTTCTATGAGGACCCAGGTCTTCATGCTGGCATGGCAAGCACTGTCCGTGGAGCCATCTCCCCAGTCCCGAAGTTGAGACTCTTAGGTCACAACCAATGACACATATGACTTGAACATGAGATTGCTTGGACTTGGTAGGAACTGAGTCACTAGTTCACTGGAGTACAAGGCCTTGTGATGAGTGCACACAGGCCCTGAACTCACAGCCTACATCAGCATATGGAAAGTGAAGCATTAAGATCTGCTGGGTTACTTAAAAGGGGCACTGTGTGGTATTAACTGTGAAAATAATCAATCCAATTAAAAGAGGGCAGCCACTAAAAATGAGGACTATTCTACAGTCAGATGTCTCTCTTTGCTGTGGGAAAAAAAAATCTGGCCTTTCAGTTGGCCTTAAAAACTATTTGAGAGAGCTGGAGAGATGGCTTATCAGTCCATAGTCCATAGTGCTCCTGACACGTTCAATTCCCAACATTCACGTCTGCCTGGAACTCCAGCTCCAGGACAACCTGATGCCTCTGGCCTCCACAGTCACCTTTGCTTGCATGTACATATACCACACAGACATATGCACAAACACATAATGAAGTAAATCTTAGAAAAAAAGAACTACTGAAGAATCCAGGATCCTGAAAGTCGCTCCATGCTGTGCCGCCTCCACCAGGCACACTTGCAGTGATAACCATTTCATGCCTGTTAGTAGCCAGCATGCAGCTTCTCCACGTTGATGACACGCTGATTCAATACAGCTGCTGGGGTTTTGTTTATTTGTTGTTTTTTTTTTTTCCGCTGTTTTACATGTCAGGATCTGAAGAGTTTTTACATAGATGACTCACCCCTTTCCTGAAAGTGGGGAAATACATAACAAAGAACCCACACCAAATTATAGTTTTTATTGCTTTCAAACACTTCACAGAAAATAGTGTATACTGTAACTAAAAGATCCAGAAATACTTCAAATGAACCATTTTTCGGTATTCCAGTAATTACTTTGAGTTGCTAAGATCATAATCCAGTTAATGAGTTCTTTCCTCCCTTAATTCTTGGGGTTCTAAACCATAAGAATTCTTGCTAAATTCCCAACAGACCCCATGAGTTAGGGAAACTGCTTTTATAAGGCCTCAGAGATCTTTTCCTCCATTACATGTATGTCCTTAAATATCTGAGATTTCACAAATATTTGAGGTTTCTCTTCTGCAGTTTTCTTAGCCTAAAACACAAATCCCAGTAAAATGGCCCTGACCTCTTTGGAATATTTCCATTAATTGCTATGTTTCAAATTTCTGAAGTATCTGAATTCATAATGAATTTCCCACAAATATTTTTAATATTTCTGAATATTCTAAAATCCATGTTTAATTTTCTGAGTTAGTCCTTAATCATTTTTGTGACTTTTTTTGATGAAGCAGGATTCTTACAGTAGATTAACTTTTTAGGTTACATGTAGAGGGATATCCAGAAACAGTTTCTAATTTTTTCTTTCATACTCATCCCCCAAATTTATCTATTTACATCCCACTTACCGCCATCACTATTGTTTTCCTCAGATGAGAAATCTCTACGAAATTTTTATGAAAAAAAAATGCTGTCCTACTCTATTCTTGCCTGGTCACAAAACCAGAGTGGGACACCCAGGAAACAATCTGCTCCAAAGCTGTTGGAATGCCAAAAAAAAAAAAGACTAATTGCGGTTACATTGAATGGCCATCTTACCAAAAGCAATCTACAGATTCAATGCAGTCCCCATCAAAATTCCAACACAATTCTCCACAGACCTGGAAAGAATAATACTCAACTTCATATGGAAAAACAAAAACCCCAGGATAGCCAAAAGAATCCTGTACAATAAAGCAACCTCTGGAGGCATCACCATCCCTGACGTCAAGCTCTACTATAGAAAAAAATAAAATAGTAATAAAAACAGCTTGGTACTGGCATAAAAACCGACACGTGGACCAATGGAATAGAATTGAAGACTTTGACATTAATCCACACACGTAGGAACACCTGATTTTTGACAAAGAATAGTCACAATATGTCTCTGAAGAGACAAATTTCTACAGATCCAGTCCTCTGGGAACACGCTTCCAGGAGACCAGTTGATTTTAGAATACAAGCTTTATCCAGACTATTGGCCTCTTAATAAACATTGAAACCTAGACTACTGATACACAGACTTTATTAAGATTTGTCACATATAATAGAGCATGGTTTCCATTGCATCCAAGTAGCAATCAAGAATGGCAGCATGTCATTTTGTAACAACTGACACTTGTGGCTTTTCAGATTTGGTTTGCAGAAACTTCATCCTCAATTAAATCTAGTCATGCTTTTGAAAAATGCTTTAGGTCACTCCAAGCTTGGCAATTAACATTTGGCATGGACAATGATAAAACAACCACAATAGATAAATAACAGATACAACCTCCTAGGCCATAAACAGCAGAAGGAAATGGTGGTTGAGTCAGTAGTTACCACAGTTAATAAAGAAGCGTAGCAGAGACATCTGGAAGCTTTGACTCACAAGCCCCAAGGGTTCTCAAGCAGGGCGATGCCTACAGTACAGTTTACATTGCTAACACACTGAAAACATGTACAGCATGATGAGCTCATTTGTATTAATGCCTTACATCCTTCAGAGTTATCAACAATACCTTAGTATAAAAAATATTCAAGTTGTATTTCTCATAGAACTTTCTGTGCTTCCTAATGGGTGCTAAATGGATTTAATGGAGGCAGTAATTTTCCCTAAGATGATCGATTTTAGCATTTTTTACAGCTATCTAGACCCAAAGACTTTTCAGACTTTTGGAATTATCAGTGACGAGTGTGGTCACATTTCAACTTACAATAATATCATATGCTTGATTCACAATGTTATTTTGTCAATTTACCTGAAATTAAATTTTAATCTTATAAAAAATGTGTAAGAGTGGCATAATAAATAACCAATATGTTGAAATGGTAGCTGCTAATTACCAAGGATGTAGGAGGGGACCCCATACTCATGCCACTAGTAGTTTGAGTTTCTGCATAAATTTAACTTACAGAACTGCTGAAGTACATATACACCTGTCTACTTTAGTCTGGTGTGTTCAGAAACCCAAGATATGGTCCTTGTACAAAAACTGTTTATCCAGGAAAAAAAAAAAATGTAGCTGGTGCTTTCTCCCTTAAAAGTAACAAAATGATCCCAAAACTTGTAATAACCAGAATTTACAAAAGAACAATTTTAGCTAGAAATCAAGTATACAGAGACTCAGAAAGGAAAAAAAAAATGACTTGTATAGGAAAGGATCAAACTAGAATCCCAGATGTAGAGTGATTTTGTAAAGTAAAAACCGCAGTGGTCACCTGCAGCTTCCTGTCATTCAGTGAGTGCCTCCCTCGGGGACTACCCGCGGCTCTGATGCTGTTTCCTATCCAAAGGGGCATTCGTGAACACTAAAGGGGGTTTCCCTGGGGTGGAGGTGAAAGTGCTTTCACTTGTTTAATTCACAAACTATTTGGTCAAAGAAATAAGTAAAGCTAAATAAAAGCACATCTGGTCGAAATCTGCAGCCATGAACAAGATGTGCTTGGATCTCACTTGCAGCACCTGGCAGTGGGCAGCAGAACACAGGTCAGCAACTCAGGGAGTCTCCTCCGTCGGCTCTAGAGGTGTCTCCGTGGACATGGCACTGGTAGCGCTTGCTGTGGAATTCAGGACTTCTCCAAAATCACCACCAGCAGGCTTGGTTCCGCCTACTTTAGACTTTTTTTTTAAAGTGTAGAAAAGAAAAAACATCATGAAACAAAATTAATTGCCTCGAAAAAACCAAAAAAAAAAAAAAAAAATTAATTGCCTCTGCAGAAAGGAACTCTAAATTGATTCTCAAGAACAAATTGGGCCTCTCACGACCCAGTGATCACTATGTACATGTGGATGTAAGTGCCACTGTAGTGCTCAGAGTAGCTTAACAGTGAAACACAACAAAGAGAAGACATAAAAGTATTTTTCCAGGTACACTGTAAGCTTCTCAGCCCTTTCCTACATAAAAGTCTGGCCTACAGACTCAGCATCATCTGGGGGCTTGTCAGACACAGAAGAATGGAAATCATAATGCCAGAGGGATCCTGAGTGACTCTGTGTGTACTGGAAATTTGTAAAGCTCTACTGTCAATATTTGTTTGAATGCTACATATGCCTGACATTTATATTTCTTTCTTTTTTTTTTTTCTCAAAACTCCTAGATGGATGTGGTGGCTCACGCCTTTATCAACCCTCGGGAGGCTAAGGCAGGAGGACTGCCATGAGTTTGGTCTCTGGCCTGAGCTATATTGTAGTTCCTGTGAAACACTGTCTCACAAGACCGAAACCACATCTCCGTTACTCAGTCTGTCACTTCAAGCTTCTCAGTGCTCACTAACTGTTACATGTAATGACTGTACTACATGACAGCTAACACTAGGAAACCAACCAGTGGCCAAGATGTATGCTCAGTGGATTCAAACTTGACCTTCCTGTGTTCCAGTCTTAACTCACTGGGCAGAGTATAAAAACTGGAACCTAATTGGAATTTTCTCTTCTTTTTATCTCCCATCCAATCTCTGAATTGTTGGATAAATCTGCATAACTTATATCCATTATTAAATTCACTAATATGTCTTTAACGGTATGAAATTGTTACAACTCCTTGCAATTCCGCGTATGTAAAGGTGAACTCCCCACAAGTGGACCCCTCTTCCATTCATCTTTCCTCTTCAGGAGAGCCAATGAAACCCTTCAAGCAAGAAAATCTTTACATTGTTTCATTTCACTGTCTGCTCCTTAAAATTCTAAGAAAAGGTGATTAAAATGTTATGTATCTTAATATTAAATTTAAAGATGTAAAAGAAAATGTTGTCCAGCAAGAGCATCTCCAGAGGTGACTGGCCCAACACATGGGGCTGTGCGTGAGCCATCCTCCGATTCTGAGCATATCGCTTTAATACTGGTCTAACGTCTACATGTAGTCCCATCATACTACCTGAGTTCTTCACTATCCTCTTTACCTGGATCACAACTCCTACCTCTCAACTGCTCCTCCTGTTCATGATCCACATCCTCCCTTCATTGTGGGAGGCTGCCAATCGTGCTTTTTGGTAAAATGTACAGAAGAAGGTGTTCAAGTTGACTAATACCCTTCAATGGCTTCCCATTTCCATAAGACCAGATTATCATCCCTCAAAAAAGGGTCCTAAAGCCTTATGCATGTCTCCAATTATATTACTGAGAGGCCTTTGCTGACTTTCCCTTCCTGTGAAGCTAGGTGAGGTCTTCCTCCAGGTCTGCATGATACCCTCAGCTTTCCCTGTCATAACCACATACTCAAACACTACAGAAAATTGAATCCATCCAAAATCTCGGTGCAGACATGTTGATACAAAGCTTAAATCAATGTAAGTATAATTTGGCAAAATTATCCCAAGCATACAACTACAAAGTTCTTTACCAATAGTTGTTCAATATACTTTGTAAAGTTACCTTTCATGTTTCATCTGTGCTGGAGTTTTATGTCAACTTGACAAAAGCTATAGTCACTTGAGAGGAGGGAAACTTGATTTGAGAAAATGTCTCTGTAAAACCAGGCTGTAGGCAAGCCCATAAAGCATCTTCTTAATTAGTGATTGATGGGGGAGGGCCTAGCTCATTGTGGGTGGGGCCCCCCCTGGGCTGGTGGTCCTGGGTTCTATAAGAAAGCAGGCTGAGCAAGCCATGGGGAGCAAGCCTCTATGGCCTCTGCCATGTTTAAGTTCCTTCAATGATGGATAATGAAGTATAAGCCAAATAAATTCATTCCTTCCCAACTTGCTTTTGGTCATGGTGTTTCATCACAGCAATAGTAACTCTAAGACATCATCTGAATGATACTGTCAGATTTGACAAATGGACTATACTAGAATCTATAGATTGATAATATAGCAAGTGACTAGGCAGTCCTTCCTCATCTCTAGGATCAAATGAACATGAGTTGCTGATTTCTGACTATTTCAAAAGCTAACAAGACAGATGTGAAGGAGAGGCAGGGAGAGTCCAAATGCTCTTGAGAACTGAGTCACAGTAAACCTTGACTCTGCAAGGCAGCTTGTTTTCAGATGTATGACTTGGCATTGAGATGGATAAAACCAGTCTCATGTACCAGTCCGGAAATGTGAGTGTGATGTATGTTTGTATTTATCCAATGCACACCAAGCAACATGCCAAGAGCTATTTGAGGCCCCTAAACAGTATTATTGAACAAAATGAAGGATCCCTGAAATCATAGATTGACATACACAAAGCTGTAAGACTTGTGTGTACAGTGTGATTCTACAGAGAGAAGAGGTCCATGCTAAAAATCCAGACCACTGTATAGTATTTGATCTTTCAGTAAGCAATTCTGCCTTTTAATGTAAGATACTGTTTTTTTCTTTTGTTGTTGTATTTTGGTTTTTTTGTTTGTTTGGTTTTTGGGTTTTTTTAACACAGGGTTTCATTGTCTAAAAGCCTTGGTTGTCCTGAAACTAGGCTGGCCTCAAACTCACAGAGATCTGCTTGTCTCTGCCTCCCGAGTGCTGTGATTAAAGGTATATACCTGTGCCACCACTGCCCGTCTATGTAAGATACTTTTAAGAGTAAGTGACTCTTCTAACATTCTGAAAGACTAAACTAAGTATGAGTTCTTTTAACTTATTTTCTTGAATAAGGTCTCTCTCTATATATAGCCAAGGCTGGTCTTGAACTCATAATCCTCCTTTTCTACCTCTCAAGTGCTGAAATTACATGTGTGAAATTGCTAAAGAAAATATCCTCAAAAATAATAAAAAAAGACAGTGACTACTTACTATTTTTAATATTTTAATATCAATAACCAATATTAAAATACTAATACTTATACTAACTCTTTAATATTATATGCTTTCTAGATGTAAAAACTTAGAATATTTGAAATAAAACTTAATATTTGAAATAAAGCAAATATCTGAAGAATTGCAGTTTTATGTTATCCATTCTCTGTGAGCATGCTACAACACATTCACAAAAGCATCACACACACACACACACTCACACACATACACTCTCACTCACACACACTCACATTCACACACACACACACACACACACACACACACACACACACACACACTACAAACCACGCAGCATCCACTAGTGACACGCAGGGTACGGGTTTAAAGTTCTCTAAAGCTTTATGTGAGTGACGCACACAAAGAGCCGTAAGGCAGCAAACAGTACGTCATGATGACAGCTTACCCCTTGACTTACCTTTAAGTTTTCAACCTTTTCTTCAAATGACTTGAAAGTTGGGGAGTTTCTATGTAGATAGAAAAAAAAGAAAAGTAAAATTACAACCACTGTGGGAAAAAAGTCGTCTCTGAAGCATCAGAAATGACTGCATTTCTCTTTGTTGTTATTCTTATTAGCAAAAGAGCAGGTATTTATCTGCATGGGTGTGCACAGGGATCAACATATACAATTACTATATAAACCAGCCTCTGAGCTAGAATTTCCACAAGTTTGCTGTTAAGTTCATGAAGACAGTCACTCTGAGATATAAGTGATATTGTCATATGGACATGTACAGAAAAGGAAGTCAGACAACACCAGCTCTGTCCCCTCCCTAACACTCATCAGAATGAAAGAAAATGACCCCCCCACCCCCCCACCCCCACCCCCCGTGAGATCTCCTGAACTCAGGCACTATGCTTTGGAACTCCGGCTTAGCATCTCATCTTGCAGGGCAGGATTCCCACACAAGCACACGCTAAGCCATCAGAATAAACTGTGAGGTTCCATTGCAGCGACCCTAATTCCAAAGGCACGGTGTCAGACGGAGAAGGGACCAAAAGAGGCCAAAGAGCTCAGAAACGTATCTCTCCTCTAGACTTTGGGCTTTTGTCTCTCATCCATGGGTTCCTATCCATAGGACCTTCAACATCCACCCTGTTGCAAAGTTAAAAGGGCGGGGCGGGGGGGGGGGGGGGGGGCCCGGTTGTGACACAAAGCCAATGGTTGTTGACATGTGATATCTCACCTCCCCACCCCAGGCCAGCTGCATCAGCAGCTCTCAAGAACATGCTAGGAAACTGAACTCTCGGGCCCATACTTGCTCTCGATTCAGAAACTCTAGGGGTGGGTCCAGCGTGCAGCATTGTAACTACCCCTCTAGGTGATTCCTACACAGACTAAAGTCCAAGCCAGCGATTTCCACCATGAAGGAGCCTCCACCTCCCTAGACAGGTTAAGTGCAGGTCAATTATGAGTGCTCACTGATGAAAGCTGGTTCCAAAGACCACTCTGGGATAAGCGGAGGGAGAGGGTGGAAGCCAGAGACCTGTTAACCAAAGCTAACAGACAAGGGACAAAATAACCCTGAACCACTGGGGAAGCTTCATTCTACACTGGCATGTGCTTTCCAACTCTACTCGTTTCAGATAAAGGTTTTATACAATGCAATTGGAATAGTAAGTCTTTAAAAAAAAAATTCATGTTTTGGATCTCAGGAATACATATCCCAACATGGTCAGAAAAGTAACTGCAAATTTTAACAGTGTTAAATGCACAGCTTGTTAAGAGATAGAATTCTAGTTCCCTACTGGACGGTTTGGGTTGCACATCCAAGCAATGGGCAGGAAGCATCTTGGAAAGATATACTTTACCTCATAGCAGGCATGCTAATGGAATGCTGAATGGAGCGGATACTGAGAGGCAGCATTAAAGAGAGACAGAAACAAGTTAGTACAGTGACCCGCCCCAAGAAGCTGGCCACACGTCGCGACAAGTAAAACTTTCTGACAGCTCATGCTTTCGGCACTGTGAACAATGATCTACTTTGTGAGGTGGGAGGGAGATGTCAAAGTTATTTCAAAAGAATTTACTTCCATTCATAAACCAATTTCCACCCAATGATCATCAGATCGAATAAGACAAGCATGCCCTTCCCTTGCACTGTGAAAGCTGTGAAGTGCTTTTACCTGGATCTATAAGGCTCAAGGCTCAGAAGTGAAATGGTAACCCAAGCAGAAAACTGAGATGGAACTTGGGTTCTTCGGAGTCCTGATCAGTGTTCACCATCTCCCCTCAAAAGTGAAGTGCACACACACACACACACACACACACACACACACACACACACACACACAGAAACACACACACACACACACGCCCCAGAAGGGCCGCAGTGACCATCTTTCTCTAGGTATTTGTTTCTGGCTGAACAGGCCCGTTTCTAAATCTATCCCTCATTTGATAACTAAGTTATTACAAATCCCCTGGCATTCCTTAGCAGTAACAGCATGTGTTGTTCACTAAGAGACACTTACACTCGATCTCAAGACTTCCTAGAAGATTGCTCAAGTACCATTCAGCTCTCTATATTCTGGGGTTCAACTTCTATCCCATAACGGTACAGCCCACTGATTGGCAAAGCTTTTGAGCCTGCTCTGAGAAACCTTCCCTAGACACTAGCTCACCAGCTGAAAATATCTTCATTTTTGGGCTCCTAAAAAAAAAAAACAAAAAAAAACCAATGTGTTTTGCTCTTGCTCGTACTGTTTTTTGCACATAATGTTTTGGTCACTACCATAGTTTTTTTTTTTTTTTTTTTTGGTAAGAAATAATCTTTCCTTTGGGTAAAGAAAATAGCTCAAATATTAATCCTTAATGACATTTAAAAGAGTCTGTGTGTTTATGACTAAGTTTCTTCAAAGACTGCTGTTACAGATGGCAGCGTGTTATACAATATCAAGTCTAGCTTGATATGACTATGTAATCACATACAGTATGACTGGGATGGGCAGCGGAATAGGAAAACTCTGAATGGAATCGGGACACCACAGGCTGTGTTCACTGTCACCCCTACAGAGGAGGTGTGCACTATGGCTGCATCTCGGACATGAACGACCCTGGAGGAGGAAGGTACCAGTTCTTCTATTTGATCCTTTCAAGTGGGTTGTTCCCATAATTGTAGGGCACAGAGTAATGAAAACAATCTTTCTAAATTCTTAACAACAGAGCTTGAATCATCACATGGATTTCCCTGGGTTCTTCTAAAGAGCGAGCCCAAAAGAGCCACATACCCAACAAAACACCTTTGACCCTAACTCCTGTGACAAATCAGGGGAGCACCCTCCCCAATACTTCTAACCTCCTGTCAATCTGCAGACTGCCAGCACTGAATTGGGTATGGGAGTTGTGACAACAGTCTGATCCTGAAACCAGACAGGAAGCTGCTGTCACAGGCAGGGGCTGATCTCTGAGCTGGAAAACTACACCAACTTAAAGGCTGTGGAGGAATTGTCAGATCATGGAAGAGCTGCAAGAACTTGCCTGTCTCCCAAGAAGAGACAAATGGAAGCAAAGACGGGGTTAGAGAGGAAGGAGAAGCAGCCATGCAGGTACAAGACAGGGTAGGAGAGCGCAGACTTTCAGATGTGCCGGGCTTCCGGGCGCTACCTCAATTTCCAATGCTTTTCGAGTTGTCGGGCTGGTTTGCGTGGGGCTGGGCTTGTCTCTCCCAACTCCTTGGTTTCCAAAACAGTTTTGTATCTGTGCAAAGCATTCTCTTTTTGCATTGAGCTAACACAGGTCATTTTCTGTTCCTTAGAGAAAACATTCTTTGCTAGAACATTAACTTCAGGAGAAGCTACTAAATTCTGGCCACAGACGGTGAGTAGTGGCCAAATATAATTAAATTGATGGTTCATGGGATTTACACAGTTTGATAACATTAACAAAATGAGGAAATATGTGGATAAAGTTTAAGTTTTTAAAAGCAAATCTAGTTAATGTTCCTACAATCATAGAAAAAAAGTTTTTATTTTCCTTGTAGCAGCCAGGTGGCTGGGTTTTCTCACTAGCAAACAAGCTAGCACATATTAAATATGCCTCGGAGACGATGTATAAGACAAGACAAGGACCTGTTTAGAATAAGGCTTATTTTGTGAAAAATCACTGGGCGGAATTTGAATACTTTTCTGTAGCTACATTTCACAATTTAAAAAAAGTACTTAAAACAGAGAATGAAATGGATGGATAGAGATGGCTTTGAAGGCCAGGTCTCTGCTTCTGAGAGCCATCTTAGTGGGAAGAACAGGGCGTACACATCAATCCAGCCCCATCCCATTAGGCAGTCCCCTCTACAGTCCCGTGCAGATGGCGTTTCACTTGGTGGGCAGTGAGGCTGCACTGGGTACGGGACGGGGGCAGCTCGTCTTTCATTCCTGACGCCTCTACACAGTTACACAAAGCTTCCTCAACTGACATGTCATTTCCAGTTTCATCCAAAGTTGAACGCAATAAGGAACTCTCTACGGAAAAAGCCAGAGTCACCACTTAACGGACAAGCTATGGGGATCCATCCCATCTACAAAGCAAAATCTGTTAAAAATCTCCCACCTTGATGTGTAACCCTCAAGTCAGGATACAAAGCTAGGCACCTCCAAACATGAGGGCAAACAGCACAGGGTGGGCTAGTTCTCAGTGCATCCTTCTCCACCTCAGATTCGCTCTTACTCACTCTTTTAAAAAGCTGAACTATTTGGGCTGGGGAGATGCCTCAGCATTTAAGAGCGTTGGCTGCTCTTCTGGACGACCCAGGTTCAATTCCCAGCACCCACATGGCAGCTCACAACTGTCTGTGACTCTAGTTCCAGGGGATCGGACACCTTCACACCAATGCACATAAATAATTTTTTTTTTAAGAAAAGCAGAACCATTTAATTTTTTTCCAGTTTCTGACACTGTTACTTGATCTTTCCACCTCTAATGAGAATGGACAGAGCAGGGAAGAGAAAGAAGGGCAAGGCCGAGAAGAGCAATGGCTAACATGTGGGTGCCTGCCTGCCACGTGGCGGGCATGCTTCTAAGAGCAGTGCCCTGTTGCTCACAGTCTCCTCTGATGTAAGCAATACAAGAGCAAGAGAGCTGGCCAATGGCCAGGGGTCAGGAGGCGCTCTCCAACTCGCTGCTCTGGGGACAGTGTCAGCTCTGGGACCGGGGTGCTGGGTTCAAAGCCTAACCCTCAGCCACTTCCATCGGCTTTGCAACCTTGAAGTCATTTAGTGTTCCTCTAGCTCTGTGTCCTCCCAACTATAATAATCAGAGCGATAACCACGCCTACTTTGGAAGTGCTCAGATCTTCCCTTAACCATTATTACTGCGTCATTTTCATGGTAGATTATCTCTCTTTACAGTGTCCAGGAGCAGCAGTACCTAGCTCCAGCCCTCCAGTCTAGAACAGGGTCTGACACATAGTTAACATTTAACAACAACATCAGAATGAATGAACACGTTTGCTACCTGAAATTGGGAAATGTGAATGAGAAAGGCAGAGAAAGTTAGTACAGTGATTCAGTTCCTGATCCAAAGATACTGTTTCATAGGGAAGGAAAGAGACTTCTTCTCCCACAACGAACAGAAGTTTTCAGCAAAAAAGAATTGTCTAGAATGACCTTAATAGATCCCCAAACAAATAAAAAATATTGAGATATGTTATATGAAGAAATGCTCATTTGAAAGGAAAATTGCTTGTGAAATAAACACAAAATGAATTAGCATTTCTTCTTAAATATATAGGAAATGAAACAATGGAGCCACTGGATTATCCCAGGATGCTAGACGACCATCATCACTTGTGGTTAAAATGAGAAGGTACTTCTAAATATTTCTCCACATTATAAAAGCATGACTCAATGTGTTGCCTGTAGGTACAGAAAATAGCCACACACAAAAAAGAAGTGGAAACGTACATGTTACTTTCCAGGGTGGTCGGTGATTGTCCCCAAGGACCTCATGGGTCAGTTTTCATTGCCTTGTCCCACCAGGATCCTAGCCAGGCAGAGCTCTCATTTTCAAGACATCAAAAACACCTATTCTCATACATTCTCTCCCTGACCCCATCTCTCCCCTCTTTACCTCTCTCCTTTCCTTTCCCTCCTCCATCCCTCCCTTAACCTAGACAAATTATTACAAATACCTAAATCTCAAATGTTAACTCGTTAACTGACCGTGTTTAATAATAAAAAAAAAAATACCGATGCTGAAATCTCTATCTTTGAGTTAGCAAAAGCAGTGCATTTCTCTTCCTGCATCCACAGCTACATCAGCGTGAAATCACTAGTCCTGAGTCTGCCACATGAGGGGGACTGAGGACAAACAGTTAATGGGATTAACCATCTGTTTCAGAGCAGTTGGCAAAAGGGATCTCTGCTGTCCATCCTCTTAGCTCCCACCTGAACCCCCAGACTGGGTTAGGCTGCTGGGGCTGGGAAGAGACTATCTCCTTGGAGGAATGTGGCCAGAATTTGCCTCTAAGACTCTCATGATCTGAAAGATGTGATTGTTTTTTTCCTTATATGTCTGAAAACATGAACCCAGATTAAGTGACTTGAGCCAATCTCTGATCTATAAGAATTACAAAGAGGAGAATCATTTTTTTTCTTGTTTCCAAGTTTTCATCAAGTGTCTTGATTTCTACATATTGATACACAATATTTATTTGTCAGTAAAAACAAGACAAACACACCGCTCCCTTGAAGTTCAAGGAACATTGCGGAAGAGGGGGCAGAAAGAATCTAAGGACTGGGAGGTAAAGAGAAGGCAATGAATGTCATCTTGTTAGCCTGATATGGCGACGGCAATCATTAACTCATAGGAGCTAGGCCTATTCGTCTAGACCTCCCAAACAGTCTGCTATGGGAGGAGAAAGGACTTGGGGGGTCTCACTGCTCAACTGCTGGCAGCTAACAGATTCTGGGAGATGGGGAGGCATAATATCAAGTTGTATACACACTGGTAAGCTCACGATACTGTGATGGTTAGTTCCAAACTCAGGGTAACACAGACAGCCCTAGTTAAATTCAGTAGGGTACTAAAGAAACAAAAACTAATGAATATGGGAAAGACATCTGTAATGCAGAAGGAGGGCTGGGGAATGTATTTTATACATGTATGAAACTCTCAACAAAGTTTATTAATTTAAAAACAGTGCAGTATAATCAATATTTCTAAGTGAAATAAGGTAACCCAAAAATATTTAGAAGAGCAAAACTCTGTTTCTGGTGCAATAAGACACACTGAACCATACTTATATTAATCTTGCTAACAGTGTGGGGCAAGAATGATCTGTAAGACGAAGCATGTCATTCTCCACTTGCATAGTGCTATGTGTGTATTTATGTTAATGCCATACACAACACTGTTTGACAACCAAGTCCTTGCAATCTCTTCTATTCTTAAGGCATCCCAAGGCCCTGGCTCCTTCCCCCACACCACTCAAGGACACCTGTTCTAACAAAAGCTGTGTCTGCTTTGTGGCTATAGCCTTTGCACGTGGCCACAGCAGGCACTCGTATGCTAGAACGGCATATGTGACTAGATTCGTACTCACTTGCCTCTAACTAAGGCTCAGGCCATTTTACCACAGTTGCTTCTTATCATTGGTTACTTGGTTGTTTTTTTTTTCTAACCATAATCTTAACTTTAAATAGTTCAACAATGAGAGTTTAGGCATCTCTATGATTTGCTCTGATGCCCAGGAGCTGTGTGTGTCAGTCGGCTTACCCAAGAGAAGGGGAGTAGACAGGAGACCATGAGAAGGAGGAGATCTTGAGGGAGGGGAGAAAGAAAGAAAAGGCAGAGACTAATGGCATTCATGTAACATGAAGGAAGAATAGAGGGCTCCGGGGGGAGGAGAGACCAGTGAGGGGGGTTAGGAGATGGCAGTGGGGGAAGCCATGATGAGTAAGAAGAACATACAATGACGTATGTGTATGCAATGTCATAATGAAACTCATCACTCTGTAATCTAACTTTAAAAATGAACAACCAGAAAAGGGAGACAGGGGGTGGGGTGGGGGACGAGAGCAGCTGCTAAATCATAGCAAGGGTCCCTTAAGGCAACGATGTACACCAGTCAGAAGAGAGATGGAGACCGAGGTACCCTTCCTGCTTACTCTTTAAGGATCTCCCACTTTCTCCTCCTACATATATAATCATCTGATCAGAGTCATCGCAGGGACTCCTACAGGGCACAGCTTGTACTTTCTAATACCCTTTTCCACTGACAAACCAGAACACTACCCTGTATGCCTAGAGAAGAGCAAGCAGAGAAACAATAAAACAGTGAAGTCTATAAGCTAATAAGACAAATACTGAAAAGCACATGGTAGGTAAGATCTGATGTCTGTCTTACCACACACAAAAAGAGTGCTGAAACCTTTATAAGATGGACCAGTTAATACCATGAGACAGTACATATGCAGTCTATTATAATTACATAATACAACCCACATGAAGGAGAATTCCAACATCCTTACAAAAGCACCAAAGAAAACAAAAGCATCAAAACCAAACAAAGTCAGACATTAAAAGGGAGGAATTCTGTATGCCATGGTAAAAATAATAATAATAATAACCGAAACTTCAAAAATCATTGTGCCATATCCCTTGTGCCACCATGTCCAATTCTTCTTTCCATTGGTCCATTACACATGGAATACAAGGAACTCTCCCTTGGCATTAGAAATGCACTCAAGTAGAAGCCACTGTGAATGCAGGAAACCGCACAGTGGACACACACGAGCATCCACCGAGGCATCAACATCTAATCTCGCACACTCATCTCACACAACTGCTAGGCAGCAGTGGCCGTTCAGGCTCTCCTTACCTAAAGGAATGTGAAAAGGCTTGCAATCTGTAAGAAGCCAGAGGAAGCATTAAAACAGAAAGGAAGTTCTGACCAATCTCTCACAATTAAATTACCTACTTTTATAAGGGTGCACAGTTTACATACCCCTAAGACACTAAAGAGTCAGTCAGCATTAAAAGAAGTAAGAGCATGTGGCAGGTGCTCCACACACATAATTGTCCAAGGGTTCAGGAAATCTATCCTTATGATATTATGCTTAGAACAAAGGTGCTCTCAAACATAATGGAAATACGAGGAAATGGATTTTAATACATGGAATAAAATATTGATTAAATTCAACTAACAAAATTCTGGTTGTAAAACCTATTTACCCCACAGATAAAACATACGAAGTCATGCAGTCTAGGCTTAGAAAAAGACAGACATAAGGTGTGCACGCCAACGGAAGTACAGCCAACGTAAGCCATGTTGCGCATGTCCAGCACTATTCTAATCATGGCGGTCGATGAATGCACAAAAGCACCATGAAGTGGTTTTCCCAACATGACAAGAAAAATTCTGCTAACTAATCTCAAATACAAATGCACAGTTAAAAAAAAAAAAAGAAAGAAAGAAAAACTCAAAATCAAGACCTGGGCCTGAGCGTGAACGTATGTGAAGCATATGGGTTAGTACAAACCAGTGCACACACAAGCACCTTGAAACCACACCATGACATACAAATGTCACACACAAACAGTGAAGCCCTCAGGCCAAGCATGCCCTTCAGTGCTCGGTAATCATCCCCAGAAAGAAGCCCGGGTCTGCCCACAATCACACATTGGCAAACACCAGAGACGTACTAACACCGGAAGGACCGGGATGCAAAAGTTTGCAACCAGAATTTTTCAACAGCCCTTAAAGGGACTCACAAGATACTCGTTTTGAAGGTTGAAATACTACGGCCTAAAAGAATTCAGGCAAGCACTTCAGGCCTTGGTGTGAAGGAAAACTCTCCCTCACTCTAACAGAAGGGAACCCGGCAGCACCCTGACCCACAGGCAGGGACCAACAGCAACCACAGCACCAGTTCAGTGTGCCACGACTACGTGGTGAGCAAGGGGAAATGCACACATACTTTACATCTTCCAGCTTTTTGGTGATGACTGAGCCAACCGATGAAAATGCAGCAGAAGCCTTCTGTCCAGCCTGAGTTAAGGTTTCAGACGTCTTCCTGTATCTGCAGACAATTATGAATAAACAGGGGGAGAAATGTCAGCTAGGCTGGTCTGTAAATTCCAGCACAGTGTCATCGCCTGCTGAAGAACTCAAGAACAGAACAGTTTTAAGAACTTCTAGTATTCTCTAGGACCATCAGGGCAGCAATAATCCCTCTGTCACGATCTCCTGCAGTGCCCTGGACAGAGGCAGAAAGGAAAGGCCCAAGCGGTTAGGGTGGGGCTTGCAAACTCAAGTGTCCTCTCCCCCTAAAAAACCTGCGAATGTGTTAAAAGCTCTACAAGGCCAGGGTCTAGGCAGGTAACTCAGACAATAAAGTGCTTGTCTTCTAAGCCCAAGGACCTAACTGTGAGCCACAGAACCCATGTAAGAAAAGCTGGGCATGATTGTTCTGGCCTATAATCCAAGTGCTGAAGAGGCAGACAAAAGGGTCCCTGGGGTTCACTGGCCAACCAGTCTAGTCTCCTGAATGAGTTCCAGGATAGTGAGAGACCCTGCCTCAAAAAAAAAAAAAAAAAAATGGCTGGCACCTGAGCAACAACACTGAAGCTGTCCTCTTACCTCTAACCTTGTGCACACAGACACACCAAGATTCTATACGGCAAAAAAGACTAAACTGTGTGACTATAGACAGAAAATGTTGCAGGCTAGAGCCAAATTATCTTGAGATATTTTTCGTTTCTTTGAAAGCAATTTCTCTCTGTCATGGCTATAGAACCATTAAAAAAAAAAAAAAAAAAACGTAATCTCAGCAGATCATGAGCTGCTAACAATCCAAAAACAAAGACCGTTCCCTAATAGCATCTGAACCCTGCCTACTTGTGGGCTCCCCAGTGGCCTTAGTCGATGACTGGATTGACTTATTCTGGAACCAGTGAAATCTTGTATGATCATGTCTATAGTAGAACATATCTTTCAAAGCAACCTGAATCTCTGTTGGCAGACGACAGTCACATATGGGTCAAGAATAAACTATCTTTTATTTCCCTCTAGATGAGAGCTGTGTTTTAGGATCAACAGGCTGCTAAAAAAAAAAAAAAAAAAAAACCTGAAAATGAGCCAGATTTGAAGCCTCACCCTTCTCTCCATCAGCCAAACAAAGCAAAGTGAAAATGAAACTCCTCAGGTGTCTTTTACATCGTTATCTAACATAAAGGGGGCAGAAGCAAAAGGCACACAGTTCAAGTAAACTGTACTATCCAACTAAATTTAATGGGCATACAATTTTTTTTTTAGTTTGCTAGAAATACCACATAAGAACTTGCCTGACTTTCATATACACAAAATTATTATAGTGTGTGTAGTGGTTTGAAAGAAAATGGCCCCCAAAAGGCACTATTAGGAGGTGTGGCTTTGTTGGAGTGTGTCGCTATTAAGGCAGGCTTTGAGGTCTCATATAAGCTCAAGCCACACCCAGTGTCTCAGTTCACTTCTTGTTGCCTGCAAGATGTAGAACCACATCTGCCCACATACCACCATGATGATAATGGACTGAGTCTCTGAAATGTAAGCTACCCAATTAAGTGTTTTCCTTTATAAATTGAGTTGCCATGTCCTGGTGTCTCTTCACAGCAATAGGAAACCTAAGGCAGAATGATATTTACTATAACATAAAAATAGAAACGATCACTCCTCTTTGTAGCTATCAACCAAACGAAAACATGGAATCTATCAAAAGGGTCAAGCTTCCCCACTGCAGAAATTAATGCTGGGTATTTTCTTTCTTACCACATCAAGATCAAATACCAGCAACAAATATGGTTTATGATTAGTATAGTCAAAGATTAGTTCCTTACATGCTTTTCTCTGCCAACTAATATGGGAAGAAAACGAAACAAAAGGGCTAGTGATGTAGCTCAGTGGTAGAGTGTTGCCCAGATGAGCAAGGCCACAGGTTCAGTTCCCAGTACAGGGAGGGAGTAGGAGAAGGACGTAGTCAGGGTCCCCTCAAATACTGTCAAGTGAGGTATAGATGGCCTCACTGCTACTGTTGTCAGTGGCTCCTAATCTTGTCAACTCACAACTAAAATCAAACACAAAAGGCAGATCTATTGCTAGAAGCCTGTTCCTCCCATGCCAGGAATGAAAGGTAATAATGCTGTAACATAATCTGTGTGATCACAAAAACAAAAAACTAAGGGACTGACCTCTGCTATTAGTATAGATGAGAGACTGTGATGGAAAAATCTTAGGCTATTAGAGCAAAGTAAAAAATAATCAGCTCTACAGATGGCCAGACGTGAG